TGCTTTACCTCCCTTGGGCTGGGCCAGCTGGTGGTCGGCCTACTGCCGCTTGCCAGCTACGCCTCGGCCGGCGCAGGGGGCGGAACCACGCATGCGCGGTGCTCCCGGGCAGGGAAAGTCCTCGACTTACGACCGGTTTAGTCCTCGACTTACGACCGGTTTAGTCCTCGACTTACGACCGGTTTAGTCCTCGACTTACGACCGGTTGGGGGTCGCGGCATTAAAAAGGTTGAGAACCACTGGGCTACATAAAAGCATTAATGGGCCATGTCTTCTCTATGACCTTTTCCAAAAAGGTTATTATAAACTTATGTGAAACATTTGTAATTGGTACTTGGGCTATTTAAATGCATCAAGTGGGGACCAGTTTTAACATCATTACAATCAGCAGGTGTACAAATTATGCATTAAAAATACACCTTTTTCCACCACAGCCTGATTATCAAATGACACATTAAACGTGGTTTTGGGACTCTTGACATACTGAATCCAAACTGCATTCTGGCTTATTAGTATGCTTGCGCCGTGCATCTTTCACAGGCTTGAGAGCATACAGAGAGCATCAATCTGCATTTTGGAGTAAAATCCCCCAAACAAGAATTCCAACTGCAATCGGATAAACTTTCAAGGACTTTCCCCCCCCCCCCNACTGTCCTGAAGATTTAACATCTAAGCCTCTCATCATCTCTATTGCTCTTCTCTTCTTTTTTTCCAGTTCAACTTCCATGCTTCTGATAATAAATTTGAGAAGTTAAGTGTGGCTTTTTAATTTTTATGATTTGTTGTAGTCAGCCAGATATTTAGACTGGATTTGGCATTTTTATCCACCTATCAAGTCCTTCCCAAGGACCTGCGACAGGGATATTATTTTTATTTATATCCTGCCTTTTTTTAATAAATAATTCAAGGCAGTGAATGTACTTAATGCTTCTCCTTCCTCTTCCTTCCCCATAAAAACAATTCTGTGAGTTGAGTTGGGCTAACAGAGAGTGACTGGCCCAGTCACCCTACTGGCTTTCATGCCTAAGGACTAGAACTCAAGTCTCCTAGTTTCTAACCTAGTGCAGGGGTCCCCAGCCCCGGTCCACACAAACAAGCAAAGCCCCATCTGCAGGATGCAGGCAGCACACAAAACCACACCCCCTCCAGTCCATGAAAAAACCTCTCTCCATGTAACTGGTCCCTGGTGCCCAAAAGGTTGGGGACCTCTGGCCTAGTGCCTTAACTATTAGACCAAACTGGCTATTCGTTTATATATTGTGCTAAGCCATGATTCTTTATTTCTTTTTTCCAAATGAGCAGACACAAGAAAACTCTAATGTGGAACTGCTGACAAATTCCCACATAACTTTCAGCAACATGTATGCTAGCAGTTATGAACTTTACAACAAGCATTTAACTGGAACAGATATACAGGACAGGAAGCCAATGCATGTTGTCTTTTCCAAGTAATTCAAAACTTTGTTATTATCTCTATATAGGAAAACCATTAGAGGTGAAACAATAGTAGGCAGAGAAGAATATAAACATTGCAAAAACAAAGAATGAAGCATGGAGGATTTCAGCTGATTATACAGAAACGTTTTCAGGAAAGAGGTTATCTTTCACATTACAAGTTTGGGCAGCTGATTATTTTTTCCACATATTAAGGACTATAATGGGATTGAGTGGGTCTCTAAAGGTTGCTTAACATCTTGTATACAGCTGTGAGCCCACATCACAAAACATTGCAGTTATGAGCAATATATGTACGTTCCAGAAAAAGAGAGAGAGAAGGAAAGAGGGAGAGAGAAGATGTGGTTCTTTACTGGCTACATCAGTGGATCTCAACCTGTGGGTCGGGACGCCATTTGGGGTCGATCGACCATTTCATGGGGGTCGCCAAGCAAGGCTGTCCGCCATTTTTTTTGTCCACCATTTTTTTTTGTCCGCCATTTTTTCCCCTTTTCCGGCAGGTGCTTTACCTCCCTTGGGCTGGGCCAGCTGGTGGTCGGCCTACTGCCGCTTGCCAGCTACGCCTCGGCCGGCGCAGGGGGCGGAACCACGCATGCGTGGTGCTCCCGGGCAGGGAAAGTCCTCGACTTACGACCGGTTTAGTCCTCGACTTACAACCGGTTTAGTCCTCGACTTACGACCGGTTTAGTCCTCGACTTACGACCGGTTGGGGGTCGCGGCATTAAAAAGGTTGAGAACCACTGGGCTACATAAAAGCATTAATGGGCCATGTCTTCTCTATGACCTTTTCCAAAAAGGTTATTATAAACTTATGTGAAACATTTGTAATTGGTACTTGGGCTATTTAAACGCATCAAGTGGGGACCAGTTTTAACATCATTACAATCAGCAGGTGTACAAATTGTGCATTAAAAATATACCTTTTTCCACCACAGCCTGATTATCAAATGACACATTAAACATGGTTTTGGGACTCTTGACATACTGAATCCAAACTGCATTCTGGCTTATTAGTATGCTTGCGCCGTGCATCTTTCACAGGCTTGAGAGCATACAGAGAGCATCAATCTGCATTTTGGAGTAAAATCCCCCAAACAAGAATTCCAACTGCAATCGGATAAACTTTCAAGGACTTTCCCCCCCCCCCCCTCTTACAAAACAAAACCCACGGAGTTTACCTGCAGGTCTCCGGGCGTACCTCTCGGAGAAACCCGGTTTCCTCCCTAGGAGCCGAGAGAAGGAAGAGGCCCCATCTTCCTCAAATCCCTACCCACCCACCCACTCATCCATTTTGCTTCGAGACACTGCCGACGAACCCCGAGCCATCGAGCCTCAAAAAGGGTCGACTCGGAAGGCTTTACCGAAAGCTCGCCGACTTTCCTCTGGCTCGAACCGCGCTGCGTTTGCCCGCTTTTCGGTGGGGACGTGGCTCCCGCTTGGAAACCCGAACTGCTTTTTCCTTCTCCGGCTCCGGCGGCCGGACGGGTCGGAAGCGCGTCTGGAGCGGCGGGGCGACGTTCCCGGCGACCCCGGGCCCCGAAGGGCTCTCCCCCGCCGCCGGCAAAGGTGGCTCGTCGGCGTTGCCCACCAAGAGGTAGAGGAGGAGCAGGAGCGCCAGGCAGAGCGCCAGGGCCACCACTTTGCAAGAGAGCCTCATCGTCCGGCAGGCAAGGCTTGCCTCAGCCCCGGCGGAGAGACGTCCCCCTCATCCTCCCGCTCCCGCGCTGGCAAATTGGATCCAGCTTTGACATTTTCAAAGCCGCTCGCTCGCTCGCTCGCCGCCCGAAGCGTCGGGCGCAAAGGAGGGAGAGTTGGCGGCGCGCAGCTGCCACACTGGCCCCCGCAGCTCAGCGGCCGAGCGGGGAGGGGCCAGGTTTACAGGGGTAGGCAACCTTGGCTCTTTTATAACTCGTGGACTTCAACTCCCAGAATTCCTGAGCCAGCTTAGCTGGCTCAGGAATTCTGGGAGTTGAAGTCCACGAGTCATAAAAGAGCCAAGGTTGCCTTACCCCTGGGCCAGGAAGACCCTATACCGTAAAGTTCAGAAAACCACCTCAGCTACAAAGTGGAGGGGCGCAGGGCGGCCGTCCACGTGCAGCTGTACCGGGCGTGGGTTAAGGCCGGGCGGCGTGCACGTTGCGGTCTGCAGCGCAGCCTCTCGTGTTCTCCTTCGGTAAGCTTTATTGTCACTTTTTTTTTTTTTCTGTGAACACACTGGCCCGCGTTAAAAAAAAGGAAATTCTGATGCCCGCTCTCAAAAGAATATATACCCGTACACACACGCATACAGACTACTTATTTTAATGTTAAAATTCTTGGCGTCGTTTAGGAGCTGTGTCATTCAGCAGATTTGCCCGGATCGATGTTGCAGGGGATAGTACTTTATTTATTTATTTATTTATTATACATCTTTCAAACATAGAATGCATTAACATACATACATTTCAATTCTAACATTACACATTTTAGTTATATAACTATTAATGCATACTTATAATACCATCCCAAACTCTCCCCCCACCCCATTAAGGGGGAGGGGGAGGGAAAGGGGGGGGAAGGGGAGGGAGTGAAGGGTCTTGACTTGTGTCCCAATGGTTCGGTAATATTATAGGTGTTGAATAGATGGTATGAGAGATTAAAATTTTATTTATTGTAGGATTAAAGAAATTGGGGGAAGTATTGTAAGTAAGATGATTGTATTCTTTTTTAAAATAAGTATTGGATGTAGATAATTTTTTATCTCATCTCTCTTCTGTATATAAACTATCCATCTTTCCCATATTTTAATATATCTTTCCTGATATTGATCTTTCAAATACGCGGAGATTTTTGCCATCTCCGCCAGGTTAGAAACCTTATTTCTCCATTCATCCGTTGAAGGCAAGTTTTTTTTGTTTCCAGCATTCGGCTATTAATAATCTTGCTGCAGTAATAAGATTTAACATCAAAGTCACTTCTTGATACTACTCTTAACAACTCCGAATCCCCGTGCAAGCAAAACCTCCCAGATAAGAATCATTTAGTCCAGCTTAGGTTCTATTACGTAAACGCCATTAGCGAGATGGGAGCAACTTTAACAGCCAATCCTGCCTACATCGCTCAGGCGTTTTGGTAAAACGGTTAATAAACAGCCAGCCACAAAGCTAGTCAAAAACTAAGCCTGATTTCCCCGCGTTTCTCTCTTCGTACAACCAGAACCGAAGAAAGCATGTCCGAGCTCCGATGCGGCGCACGCGCAGAACCAGAACGCCTGTAGTCGTCCCACCCTGGCATCTTGTCACGTGAGTCCTTGGCTGTCTGGCTCGTTCGTTGTTTTTTTCTTCTTCTTTTTTTTTTTCCAGCATCCGTATCACTTTCGTGCTAGCTCAACCACTTCTGATTGGAGGAGCTCTTCCAATGATCTTTCGATCCGCCTCCCCAACAGCCCGCCTTCTTCGCTTTTACGGCTTCCTATTTGAAGAAGAGCAATTGGATTGGCAGTAGGCTGTAGCCCGTAGGGAGCCTCGTCGCCGTCAGAGAATCGGACGGCTGGAGGCGGAGAAGCAAAGCGTGGAAACGTGGGAAGCTGCGCGTGGGAAGCGTCTGGAGCTTCTATGGGTGGTGAGTGTTGGCGCGGGGTTTCATTTGTGGCATTCCTGTTTCCTTACTTATTGCTCAGCGTATAGATTAAGGCTGTAGGAAGCGGAGAGGAATTGCCGCAGAGGTGAAAGGCTGAGCAGCCCCCGGAGAAAGGGGCAATAAATAGCGGTAATCTTTCATTTTCACCCCAAATGCAGGGTGGGTAGCGGCTCAGAGCTTCCATGTATAACTGCCTTCCTGTGAAATGCTCGACTACAAAGCTCACCATCCGCAACCATTGGCCTGGATGGGAATCATAGGATGGAACTCCAGCATATCTGGAAGTTGCCAGGTTGAGCAGAGGTCTGCTCGAAGAGCGTGGAAGCAAGGATGTGTGTGTATGTGTAAATAGGCTTACAAAGGTAGTAAGGGTTAATTTTTCATTGACTGAGGATACAGCCAGCCTATCAGCTGGCAGGAAGGTTTTTTTTTTCCCTAAACTTCACTCCGGTCTGATTCTTGGAGACAGCCTGGACAAATCTCTGCAAGGTTTTTTTTTGCAAAGTTTTTTTTTAAATCCCCAGGTGTGGTTTGCTATTTGCCTTTTACTTAGGGCTGAGAGAAACTGACTGGCCCAAGGTCACTCAGGTGGCTTTGTGCCTAAAACAAGACTTTACTCTTGATCTCCCAGTTTTTAGCCTGATCCTTAACCGCTACACCAAATTGGCTCTCCCCCCCCCCCAAAAAAAAACCTTGCAGAAAAGTGCATAAGCATAAATTAAATTGATGATTAAATAGCCAGGCTAGCAAATAGTGCTGTTTCTACAGTTTTAATGTTGGATAAGTGGAAATGATTGATGGATGCTCAAGGGTTCATTTCCTCTCCCACAAAGTATCCCCTCCTTCTTGCTTCACCCCAGATCTCTGCTGTGATTTGTCAGTCCAGATAGCTAGAGGGGTGTAGGGTGGAGGCAGTCAATCAATGATGAGTGAGCCCCAGCCTTGCCTGGTGCTGCCAGGAAACAGCGAGGATGGCAACTACCAGAAATAGTCTGTTGGCAAAAGGGCCGCACTTCTTTTCAAGTATTAAAAATAGTTGTAAAATTGAAAAGTGAAATGCCTCATTACAGATAAATCTTTGACTTACAACCATTTGTTTAGTGACCAAGCGAAGTTACAACAGCTCTGAAAAAAATAAACAATAGTTTTTTACGTGACTGCTGCTGCGACGTCCCCATGGTCACTTGATCAAAATTTGGAGGCTTCTCAATTGGCTCATATTTATGGCAGTTTCAGTGTCCCAGGATTGTGTGATCACTTTTTGCGACCTTCTGACAAGCAAAGTCAATGGGAAAGCCAGATTCGCTTAACAGCCATCATGTTACAAACTTAACAACTGCAGTGATTCACTTAACAACTGTGGCAAAAAAGGTTGTAAAATGGGGCAAAACTCACTTAACAGTCTTGGTTAGCAACAGAAATGTTGGGCTCAATTGTGGTCGTAAGCCTAGGACTATCTGTAATCCACTAAGCAGGATAAGAATCAGGAATGCAGTTGCCTTTATCTGGATCTCTTTATAGGGTTAAATCAACTTTCTGTGCAGCACAAGAATAGCAATGGTCTGAAGTGAGCATTATATTTGTTTTTTAACAGAGGTCTAGAACTCTTTTGAAAGAATGCTAAACTTGTGTTTAACAAAGCAAGGTTAGTATATTTTTTCCAAAAATGTACAAACTTATGTTTATAAGGAACCCCCAAGTTTTGGGGCAAATTCCTTTATAGGAGGCACATGATCCGCCCAAGCTAAAATGGGCCTGAGATATATTGGTCTGTCCATGAACTAAAACTCAGGAGAAAGTGGGTAATGCAGCAAAATAATAATCCAAAACTACAAGCCACATTAACCAAAATAATGGTTAAAGCAGAACCAAGTTAATGTTTTCAAATGACATAGTTAATGTCCTGACTATAATTCTATAAAAGCGTTACAGAATAACCTGAAGTTGATGGAAGGATTTTCACCATCTTCCCTCGGCTGTAAGGAGGAATATAGGTTAAAATTTCTTAAAGCTGATGTGCAGGACTGATCAACAGTTATTGGAAATGTTTAGTTGCAATTATTGCTGTTGAGTATGGGGGAAGAGGTCACCAGTTCCTGAAAGCGAAAGTTCATATACTTTTTCCACACACAAATATGTACCTTTGGATCATTTTCCTCAGTAAATAAACAAGTGTAATGTTTTTGCCTCATTTATGTAATTGGTTTCTCTTTATATAGTTTTGGGACTTGTGTGAAAGACCCATCATATTTTAGATTATATTTATTTATGCAGAAATATTGAATATTCAAAAGGGTTAGGGTTCACAAACTTTTAAGTGCCATTGTAACATTGCTATAATATGTTTAAGCTAGCAGATTTAATGTTTTGAAGAAGAAGGGGTGATGTAGCATATATCATCTGTGTGTTTTGAGATTACCTTCCTTTATTTAGGAAGGTGTCTTCTCATCATTTCTAGGGAGAAAATGGTTTTGTGATACTAAACAATATAGCTGTGGGTACAGTTGACATATGTTGTTTATAGATCTGTAACTCACTGATAACACAGGATAATTTCTAGGTAAAAGTCTGCTATGCAATACTAAATGACAGTGTTACGGCAGCCGGCTGAGACAATTGTCTAATACAAATTATGGATTTTAGAGCTTCTTAAATATTTAAGTATTCTTCAGTTTAACAGTATACAGTAATCCTTGACTTACAACCATAATTGCAACAGGCACTTTCATTACTAAACAAGATAGTTATTAAGTGAATCCTGCCCAATTCTATGACTTTCTTTGCCATAACTGGTTAATCCTTAACCACATGGATGTTAAATGAATCCAGCTTACCCCATTTACTTGTGAGAAGCCAGCTGGGAAGGACACAAGACCCCAAAATTTTGCAACTATCATAAATACATGCTGATTACCAAGCACACAGATTTTGATTTGTGGGGATGCTATGACGGTCATAAGTGCAAGGACTGGTTGTAAGTCATTTTTTCAGTGCCATTGTAACTTTGAAAGGTCACAGAGGAATGAGGACTACCTATATATGACTTTTTAAAGCTTCTGTTTATTTTTTACCACTATTACACATGTATAAGTGTATTTTGGGTTTATATGATCACTGTTGCATTGTTTCTGTGTGTGTTTTCTTTGCTGAATATTAAAAAAAATAGAAAAAGGAAAAAAAATGCAGCTGGCATATGGGATTGAGATTCCTGCAAATAAAGATGATGCTTGAGGCTGGCATTTTCCTTTGTAGGGTGACAGTTTCTTTGTTTCTAAAATTAAAATAATTTGAGAAGATGTAATTGTCAAGAGGGACCAGACACCTTGCAAATGGCAAGATGCATTGACATTCTCAGGCATTATGCTGGAGACCTGAGTTTTTAACCCGTAACAATGCTGAGACTGCAGACAGAAGGAGCTATTACACTAGCAACAACAAAAATTAATCCTTTTCAGGATTCCTTTGAGTAGAACAGTTTGCAAAATACTGCTACCTGCTGAATAAAAAAATCTGGATCCATTATAATAGGTATTCCCCGAATTTGTAGATTTCCAAGAAGTAAAAACAAACTTAGACTTTTATGCAGCTAACTTAATCTGGATGTTCTGAAAAAGGATTATTCAGGAACTTATCGCACCTCCCTTAATTGAAGAATGGTAAAGTATAAAATTAAATATATTGTTTAAGTAACATACTATAAGCAAATATAGGAAGCATGTTTTTAATCTCACCCCACAAATAGGTTTTCTTTGATTATAATGAATACCTTTCAGTTAACTGCAAATACTTTATTAGAAATCTTTAGTTATCATTTTCAGGTGTTCAAATGCTATTGATACACATGTCCCAAGAATAATAATTTGTTTGCTTTTGTGACTGTTTTATAGGTGGTGGTATTGTTTTTTCTGATATTCATCATGATAACTCCAGTATTTGAACTGAGTCAAGATCCAGATTTTCTCACAATAATTATCAAAGTACCTTATGCACGAGTTTCAGAATTTGACATCTATTTTGAAGGGAATTTGTTTCGTTTTTATGCAAAACCTTACTTTCTCAGGTAAGCAGTGTTAGTTTTCATCTAATCTCATCTAATCTCTGAACTTAATTTTACATATTTAGTTTAGTAAATTATTTTTGTGAGTATTAGTGCTATTTTTTCTAAAAATGTAGAACTGAAGCTCATAGATTGCTAACTGCTATCAAGCAAAGTTGCTCTGAGCTTAAACATGGTTTGTTCACATCACAATATATCATGCAAACTGGAAATGGTTTAATCAGCATACAAAAAAGCGTTACATTTCTTTATCTCCTGCATAGGAGAGAAAATGGAATAATTTTGAATCTTCTGTGACATAACTTTGAATTGAAACAGTGTTTGGTTGCTATAGGTAACTATTTATATGGAGAAATTTCTTTGCATATATATGCCCAGATGCATGTACACATGCAAGAGGAAATGTGTGAATATGGTACAGTAATTAAGTTGCTGGGCTGAGAGTAAAGAAATCCTGCAACTAGTCCTTCCCTAGGCTTGGAAGCTGGCTTGGTGATTTGGGTCCAGTCAACTTCTCACAGCCCTAAACTAGGAAGTTGAAAGATATTTATCTACTAACTCACCCTGAAATTATAATTATGGTACATCGCACAGTCAGTTTAGACTGGATTTGGCATTTTTAATCCATCTACTGAATCATTCCCAAGAACCTGGGATAGGCAGCTGATGTTGTTTAATGGTGTTAAAGGNGTTAAAGGTATTGCAGGATGTAAGCTGCTCCAAGTAAAGTTGCCTTTTTCAGTTGACTGGTTCTCCAGATGTTTTGGAATTGTACTCAAAGCATCTATTTACTACTGTTGCTGTCTTTGCTTTCTTTTGCCACAGATGGTCTCCTTTGGGTCTTTGTACTTTGTGATTTTCTCCATTTCTTTCTCTTCTCTTCTGCTATCCCCATTCTGCTTCTATTCTGCCACTATCCAGACTTTTTTGTCTTATCAACAATTGTTAAGTCTGGAGTGTTATGTAGCAGGTGCCTGTTTATTTAAAGCCTAAAGTCCCAGAGCACTTTAGTTTATGATTTTAAAATGCATGCACACACACAAACCAGTGGTGGGATTCAAATATGTGAACAATCGGTTCTCTGTGTGGATGCCGCTTCCGGAAGTCCATTCTGGGCCTGGGCAACAAAAAATTAGCTAACGGTTCTGCCGAAGTGGTGCGAACCGGCTGAATCCCACCACTCACACAAACTCAAACACAGATTCAGACTTTGTAACAATAAGATACTTAACATCTGTGTATATGTTGAAACATAATATTTAACACTCAGTCTCTATGATTCTTGTCCTCTTAAAGAGATGTTTTGTGTGTGTAGTAGAAACTCAGTGGATCATTTGAGGAACGGAAGTAATGCTCATTAAAACTAAATGTACAGTAAATTCCAATGTATATAATAGTTGCTTTTTATGTCATTGGATGTTGTTTTTAATTCTGCAGTACTATATAGCATGCACAAATGTTATCTGGAACTGAATGGGTTATCCTGAATCTCTTGGCACTTGAATTTATAAGTAAAACAAGCTTTCTTCCTGAATTGAGTAGATCAAAATACGGAACAAGCAAACAGACAAAAAAATGAACAGCAGCTGAAGTCTGGTGGGACTTTAGCATGTTCCATTCACAACTCTACCAAAGACATAGTGATTATTCAGACATTCCTGATAAAAGTAATATTAGTAATTGTCCATTCACAATCATATTCTCTTTTCCGCTTACCATCTCTTTATATAACTTACTATTTGGACTTGCTTCACATTGTTGAGTGTGTAATTTGATTTTTCAAATTGTTACATCTGAACATTGCTAGCTCATCTTTCTTATATTAATAATATATATTAAATAAAGTACTTGCTTTTTTTCCCTTTTACAGATTAACACTTCCTGGAAGAGTTGTAGAAGACGGAAGAGAGAAAGCATCATATGATGATTCAGGTTTGCTTTGCAAATATTTTCATACATAGATATATTGCAGCAGCATATATTTACTTCCAATTCCACCAATAATTCAAAGCTATATCATGTCATCTTGGTTTCTGGCAGGTCCTTGATTTAAAATGCCTTTCTGCATAGAGATAAACAACACATTTAAAATGATTTATGGCCACTAGGCAGAGGATAAGGAAGATTCCCATGTTACAAATTTCTTTTCGCCAAAATAACTTCATACCCTATTAAAAAAAAAACCTTGAATTGCTGGTGCACCCATTTGCTTCTTTTTTCTGAACATGGGTGAATAATAAATGAAGGGAAAGAAGATTTCCTGATTTTTCCCTTAACACATGGAAGGAAAGAGAGCCAAGCTGAGCCAAGCAGGTTGAAGGTTTTATTTGTTGTACCAAATCCAAAAAAAGCTAATTTATATTATGTAAATGGAAGCCTACATTTACAGTTGGGCTTTTTCATTACCATACACATCTCTACAGCTATTTTACTTGATTAGAATTTGCCTTCAGGGATTCCTCAGACCTCTAATGTAGGTTTTGAAGGAATGTGTGGTAATGTAAGAAGTAATCCAATCCCATTTTCCCTGATGCACACTTCTATAGAAAATGGAAAAAGCAGAGGAGGGGACATTATGAATGCAGCCTTGTGCTCCTGAATGAAAGGCAAGATATACATTTAAGGAGTAGATACATAAGAAAGCTAACTGAAGCATTTTGAAAAAAAAATGCCTTTGGCCGATTAAATCCTTTTATTTCCAGGGATATTTACAATCCACCTTCCCAAAGAGACTCCTGGAGAAAAATTTGATGGCCTAGATATGTTGACAGCTCTGTTAGCACCAAAGAAATCCCGGTCAGCTAAACCTTTAGTGGAAGAGATGGGTTTGTATGATTTTATTTTTAAAAAATGGTTTGCGGGCTCTTGTTTCTCTGTGTAACATGCATTGGAGGTAAGGATGTCTTGTAAGTTAACTTTTAATGATTTGAATAAAATGGTAATGCTAGCTGATGAATCTATTGGAAGATGCCTTTTAGCATCTAAAGAAATTGTTTATTTTCTCATTTTATTGAATAAAGTGATAAATTCTATTATGGATTGGATGTTAAGTAAAATAAGACAGATTCCTGCTTCACACTCTGTCCTACCTTCTCTCCATGGTTTCTTGGAGTCATATTTCCCACTTCTACCTAGAGATATTAAGAGCTGAGCTTGAAATCTTTCAAATCTGCTCTACTACTGAATTGTGATCCTTTTCTGTTGCTATCTCTACAGTTCTGGTTACTGAATATCTTCCATCTGTGAACTAAATTCAGGATATCGCTTTGCTCTTTTTGAGAAACGTGAAGCTAAAACTAATACAATAAACTGTCCTTGGAAATAGCTTTCCAACAAGTTGGTGGAGAATTGTGAGAGGTTAAAATTGCACATCTACTAAGCCATGGTTTGATTTCACCATTATTTGTTAATTTGTTAGCATATCAGTTGACACATGACATTATTCTAAACCCAAGTAAACAACATTAGTGGTTTAGGAACTCTTTTTTTAAAAAAATATATAGAATAGAACAGAACAGATTTTTTTATTGACCAAGTGTGATTGGACACACAAGGAATTTGTTTCGTGCATAAGCTCTCAGTGTACATACAAGCAACAAGTAATAACTCGTGATTATAATCATAAAATGCATTCATCATAAATCACAAGATACAACACCCAGTGATGGTCATAGGATACTAAATAAATCATACTAGGATACTGAATAAAACAATATAAATCATAAGATACAAGCAAAAAAGTTATAGTCATAAGAAGATAAGGAATAGGTAATAGGATAATGTATTGGTCACCCAAAGTCTATGGACACTGGGCAATGTAGAAAACTAGGAAGAACATTAAAAACAGCTAAAAACACTGAATCATACAGGCATCCCAGGCTAAAATACAGTTAGCCTAACAATCAGCCATAAGTATCCATAAGGAGATTTAAAAGCCAGGAAGTCTCTCACAATTATGTTTGGCAGCCAGTCTTTTAGAAAGGCTGAGGATGGGGTAAATCAAGGGATTGGGGAAAGCCTGTCCTCAGAATGGACTTTAAACTGGACTTTAAGACAAGGTCCTTATAGTTTCACATGTAGAATTTTTGTTCTGTAATTTAAAAGTTATCAGGAAGAGAAATATTAGCCAGATCATATAAATCTGGTAAGTTGTGAGCTTTTTCATCATGTCTTTTTGAGTTACTATGAAGTTTTTTTGAGTTGACTGGCTGGTTTCTTTTATTTTTTACATTGATTTATTTTGGCAGTGGCTGAAATCTTGATCCTGAGCTTATGGGCTTAATCTAAAAAAACCAGTGTAAATCATATCCTGATTCTTTTGGAATGTTTTAAGAGAATTGTTAATTCAATAAAGATATTTTAGGTGGAATTTCATACAATACATTCTAAATGGTACAAAAGTTTGATATTGCTGTAACTTTTGATGGCAATGCTTGTTCAGGTGCTCCAGATGAGGAGAACATGGAAGAGGAGGAGGAGGAGGAATTTGACTGGGAAATAGAACAAACTCTTCAAAAAGATAACATGGAGGATTCCTTGTGTCCATCAAATACCTATGGATTTGGAAGTCAGAAATCAGGAGTTTTTCGACGTCTCCAGGTAAGTGGGAGCATTAAATAAACACAGATATTTAGTAATCAGAAATGTATTTTTCATATATCATAGAACAACAATGACATCTGAAAAAATGCTGAGTAATATAAATGTAAAATATTCCCCTGGGGCCGTATTCTTGAAATTAGATGTATCTGCTATGTAAGCCAAGATGTCTAAAAGGTTGTTTAGATCTTTCAATTTTTTTTAAATGGTATTAGAAGTCAGTAGGAAATAGAAGTTGACTCATATTGAATGTGATGAAATGTATCTACAAAGGGGGTATAATGGACAACATTGAAGCAGCCATTTCCCAGGAAGGAGGGAGGAGCGTATTCCAAGGAGGGGGTAAGACAAGAGACAGCATAGTCCAGAGCTGAATAGGAAACAGAGGAAGACGTTTAGGATAGCCACTTCCTAGAATCTCTCAGGGTATATATGTTATGGTGAGAGTAGTAGCGGCTTAGTCTGGCAAGATTTTATTTATGTGGTATGAGCAAAACTGAACTTTAACTGAATTGTTCGATGTTGCTCTTGGGCTGGGCCTGAAAAGAAACATTTTATAATCTTTGAATCTTAAAATGGAGAGAAAGAAATGCTTAGAAAGATGGAACTTGAGCTTCACTGAATAAATAAGCCGTAATTCCATAATGGTTTAGAAAGAATGCGGTGTATCTGTTGGTGATCTACATTATATAATTGTCTGACTTAATGATAAATAAATTACCTTACTGTTGTCAATCAGCCTACTGCAAGCATGATCAATGTCAATAGTTCTAAGCATAACAGTAGTTTGGACCCAACCAGATAATTGTAAAATTAAGAATTTTATGAAGTCTGCTAATATATTTATGATGAAAAATTATCATTACAATAAAATTATTTGAGACGTGTATATGCAATACAGGTAGTCCTCGTTTAATGCCCATTTGTTCAGTAATCAGTGAAAGTTAAGATGGCACTGAGCGAACGGTTCTTAGAGTGGTGGTGATTGCAGTGCCATTGTGGTCAAGTGATCAAAATTCAGGCACTTGATGGCCCACCTGCATTTCCAACTGCAGCATGTGGTTTAAGTTCCTGCCACCTGCCGGTCTCCCCTCACCTCTGCCCTTTTGGAATGTCCTGTGATCTGCCACTACTTAATCCCTCTCTGTCCCCTCCAGCTGATCTTCACTGTTTTCTTCCTCCACTTCTGAGAAAGTATGCCTGCCTGCTTCGGGCAGTTACTGGCCCTTTGTGCGTGCACTCCAGCCAACAGGACAGAGATGGGGGAAGGGAGATAGGCAGATGGTGGGAAAGTGATATCCTTCCTGAATTTAGATCACAGATGGAAGATAATTTAGTAATCAGAACTGTATGGATAGCAGCAGAAAAGGAACACAGCTCAGTAGTAAAGCAGATTTAAAAGATTCCACGCTCAGCTCTTAATACCTCTAGGTAGAAGTGGGAAATATGACTCCGAAGAAATCATGGGGAGAAGGTAGGACAGACAGTGAAGCATGCATCTGGCTTATTTTACTTAACATCCAATCCATAATAGAATTTATCACTCTATTCAATAAAACGTGAGAACAAACCATTTCTTAATGTGCTAAAAGGCATTTTCCAATAGGTTTGCCAGCAAGAAGCAGCATTACCGTTTTATTCAAATAATTAAAAGTTCTTCACTTCCAATGCATGTTAATACAGAAACAAGAGTCCACAAACCATTTTTTAAAAATAAAATCATATAAATCCATAATAATAATAACAATAATAATAAAATAAATAATAAATAATAAAGTTGGAAGGGACCTTGGAGGTCATCTAGTCCAACCCCCTGCTCAGGCAGGAAACCCTATGCCATTTCAGACAAATGGCTGTCCAGTCTCTTCATAAAAACTTCCAGTGTTGGAGCATTCACCGCTTCTGGAGGCAGGTTGTTCCACTGGTTAATTGTCTCTTCCATTAAAGGTGGAAGCGAGTGCAGCAGGGCAGGAAAAGTGTGAAGTCCTGGCCTAATGGTGACACACAGTCTGGGTCTAATGACTATAACTATGCCTATTACAATTGCCATTGCTAAGCAGTCCAGGACACATAATGTTTCTCTTAACTATATCATTTCTGGTCATGTGGTTAAGAAATTCTGGTCTTAACTGGGGTCATTAAGAGATGACTACGGGTATATGACATGTATATTTGTAATGATTACTTTGCATTTATGGGAAACTTTATGCAATCACAATTTGTTTGGAATTTCTACAGAAGTGTACAAAGCCCCATGACAATATTCACTTGCTTCATGAGCTTAATAAAATTCCTTTTTCATAATTTGCCATATTATGGCCTTTTGTGGTCTAAAGTAGCTTCCCTTTAATGGAAAACAGTATGAGGAAAAAGAGATTTTTCACCCCATATCATGCAGTTTATATGAAAAAGGTGTAAGTTTTAAACCTTAAACATATTGCTTGAGGAAGGCAAGACTTTCTCCTGCTTTGTTTTTAAGAAAGATATTTCTGTATAACTGAAGAGAAAAAGCCAAAGTAGACACATATTTGAAAAAGATAAAACATAGAAAGGAAAACTTTAGTGATGAATGAACCATTTTGCTTTATCCATTATGACATCTCCTACATCCATACATCTCTATGTTTAGACATGTGCTTTAATACATTCCTCTTAAATAATGTGAAGATAAGGGTAAATTTAAAGAGGCCACAGATGTGTTCTTCAAAGCCTTGAGAAGGCCTTTTTTCAACACAGCTGAAAAAGGAAATGACAAAGAATGAGTCCCAGACAAAATGATACAAGTAGCACATGAACAAGAAAACACAGGCTTAGGAGAAGAAATTAATTATTTTTTTTATCAAAAAGCAAATGTCATATGGTTGTGTGATATGAATCCTTATAGTAAAGCATTATAGCTTCTGAGGGACAATGTTGCCTCCTTTGCAGTTAGTCATGCATTGATATTAGCGAAATATCAGCACGCTGAGGACTGAACAGTCACTAGAGTTGAAGAAAATTATTAACTGTTAAAATATAACTAATCAATTCACTGATTTCATCTTCTCTTTAGGAATTTCTCCTTTTGTACTATAGAACTGTAACAAAATCATTTCCGCTGTAGTAAATAATTGTGGCTTATGGAGTATTCACTTTGTTTATAATTACATATGCATATAATTATATACGTATAATTACATATACATAGTAAGCTGTGTTTTTAGACTACAAATATATAGCTTCATACCCAGTATTAGTCGACCATTAATCTATCTGGACTAGCTAGTCAGATGCCGTGTTAATTGTTATGTTTGTTATGTCTTTTTGTCTACATTTGGAAATGGCCCTGCAATATTTTATGAAGTTTGTCAGTTCTTACACTCTGAAGTATTTGGTGGTCCTTTGCAATATTTATTTTAAGTATTGTACTATATGAGTACCTAGCTGAATTTTACAAAATTCTCAGCTTTACTTTTGTGAGTTGGTACTGCACTGAAATCGATCCATGTTGGGCTTTGCATTTTAGTCTTGGGATTATTCTGATTTCTTTGTGTCACTTTGATCTGAAATTCCATTAGGTTGTTAATAGATCTTAGCTATAAGCATGCAGCTATATAAGCTTAGTTCTATTAGGGGCAAGACCTGGCTCAAAAACAGCAATTGTGAGAGAGACCTTGGAGTCCTAGTGGACGATTACTTGACTATGAGCCAGCAGTGTGCAGCAGCAACCAAAAAAGCTAATGCAATCCTGGGTTGTATAAAGAAAGGCATAGAATCAAGATCACGTGAAGTATTAGTACCGCTTTGTAAAACCATAGTAAGACCACACCTGGAATACTGCAGCCAATTTTGGTCACCATACCACAAAAAAGATGTTGAGAGTTTGGAAAAAATTCAGAGAAGAGCAAAGGCCTGGAGACTAAAACATACGAAGAACGGCTGTGGGACTTGGGTTTGGCTAGTCTAAAGAAAAGAAGAAATAGGGGAGATATGATAGTATTCCGGTATTTGAGAGGCTGCTACAAAGAAGAGGGGGTCACGTTATTCACCAAAGCACCAGAGGGAAGGATGAGAAACAATGGTTGGAAACTGATCAGGGAGAGAAGCAACCTGGAATTAAGGAGAAACTTCCTGACAGTGAAGACAATTAACCAGTGGAACAGCTTGCCTCCAGAAATCATGGGCACTCCATCACGGGAGATTTTTAAGAAGAGACTAGGCAGTCACTTGTCTGAGATGGTATAGGTCAGTGGTGGCGAACCTCTGGCACTCAGAGCCCTCTCTGTGGGCACGGGTGGCGTCGCCCCAGCCTCGCCTCTCCCCACGGCTCCCTCCTCACCAGCAGCCCCCTGAAGAAGAGTTGCCCCCGGGCACAGCCCGCGTGGAGCAGCATAGCCAAGGACATAGCAGACTTTAACAAGACTCCGTCCTCGTGCCCCATCATATGCAGATGATGCGGGGCACGGGCAGAGGGTGTGGCCACCATGGTGCTGCTGGGCTGCCATGGCAATCTGCTTTGGTGGGCCGTGGAGGCAGTGGGTGGCGCTGCGGCCAGGCGGGGGCGGTTTTTGGGCACTTAGTCTCTAAAAGGTTCGCCATCACTGGTATAGGTTCTCCTGCTTGAGCAGGAGGTTGGACTAGAAGACCTCCAAAGTTCCTTCCAGCTCTACTCTACTCTACCTGTCAGTCTAAAAGAGTTTATTGTGCTGCAAAATTGCAGCAATAATTGTAACAATTTATTTTTTAGATTATATTTTATTTTTTATCATGACTATTGTTTTTATAAATATGTAAAGAACTCTAGACAAGGGGAGAGTTAACAGCATTGGATAATGGTGTATGGCCACATCATTTTAAACCAAAATCTTTTCAGTATTATACCAAGCTTCTATAATAAACGCAATAGGCTATTTAATAAATAGAGAAAGAGACTTGAAATCTGAACCTGATGAGTCAGCTTTTATGGCATAACGATCCTTTTAAATCCATTTAGCATGCCATTAAGAATTGACTATGATTCATAGATGATACTATGTGCCTTTAGAATTACATTATATTAATTACAGACTTTTTAGATTGTGCTGGAAGGATTATAATCAGATTTGTATGTATTGCCATCAATTAGCAATGCTAATTTTAGACACTTACTAGGGTCAAAGTTTTTTGAGGAAATTGTAAACAAAAATAATGGGTAGTCTCTTGCAGTTAATGTAGGTTTATTTCCTATAAACTGTGATACAAGATTTTTTTTTTTTAACTGTCAGATGGCAGATAACTACACAACTGTGGCTATACAGTTGTATTGTTAACAGTGTGGAAGTATATGGTTGCCATTACTTAGCCTGGCAGAAGGATGCCATCTTCTGGGGAGCCAACTTAACGTTTTGCAAGGGTGGTTTGGTTCACTGATTTTAAAATGTGGGAAACTGCTTTAAAAAATCAGCACAGTAGCAAAATATCCTGAAGAATCTGTTAAATAAAGCTTTTTTTCATTGTTCTCCTTTTAACCATGTTAACAGTTTCTAAAAAATTCCTTTCATCTGCACAAATTTCTTTTGTGCTAAAATAGAAACAATATATCTTTAAAATATTTGTATTGATCAAGATTATCAATATATTCACATATGTTCTCAAATTGTATCTATTTCAGTGGCTTTTGTGTGTCTGTTGGTATTTGTTGATGTTCTGTTTCTCCTAATTGAAAGGGGGGGAACCACCCAGAATCATGAAGAATCATGTGGGTGATATATAAATTTAATTTTAAAAAAATAAAAAATAAAATTGGAGATAAAATCAGGAGGAGGGATGAAATCTGGAGCAGGGAGAAGCAGCAAGACCAACCAACAAGCAAACTAATGGCCCCTCTAAGGATGATAATCTGAGAATAACCGGCCCAGAGATTCACAGCCAAGATTCACTTGGCCCATTTGGAATTTTAAATGGACTGTCACCAAATGGCCACCTTGGTATGGCCTTGCCCTTTTCCAGCAAAGATAATCCTTGTAGGCCAATCATAAGAGAAAATGATAAGATTTCTCTCCCTGCGGCTCTATAGCTTTCTAGAGTGTTTCTTACTAGCACTGATTCTCTCTGTCCCTCCCTTTTTTCCTAGGCAGATTAGAACAATTCCAAGCAAAGCATTAGATGACAGCCATCTGTCATTGTTATTTTCTAAAAATGCCTATGGCCATCTGAGATCTAGAATCATTTGAATTAAAGATGATATTAGAGATTTCTGCTTTTTTTGTATCAGTGTGCTCACTTCTCCTTTTTGTGATTCAAAATATTCAAATGTTAAAATCAAGTAACAAAGGAAGTTTTAGCAGGTCCCAAGACCTATCTATTTACAGCTTAGCATTTGCAATTGTGGCTTATTTAATCCTTGTTTAGTAAAGTATGGGTCTATTCACAATTAAGCATTTAAGCTTTAAACTAAACATAATAGTCTGGTTTATTCTCTTTTATCAATCACATGAGAGAGGAATGCCCTGTTTATGATCTAAACTCAAATAATAGTTGTATGTATATACATACACTAAAAGAAAATAAGATAACCTAATCCATGGTTAGTGAGGCATGGAAAGTAATGTATTCATTTGCAATAGGAGGCTAATTTATTGATCACACAGTGATTAAGTGAGATGTCCTAGGACTAGTCTGAAGTTTCTTGTTGCACAGAAGAGTACAGGTGATTGATAGATGTGTATTCTTGCTATCATTCAGCTCTTTGTGTTTTAGAATATTTGACTGCTTTCCATGAAGAATTCTTTAGAATGTATAGCAATAGCCCTTAGAGTTATACTGTATATTGCTTCACAGTGCTTTACAGCCCTCTTTAAGCAGTTTACAGAGTCAGCATATTGCCCCCAACAATCTGGGTCCTCATTTTACTGACCTCAGAAGGATGGAAGGCTGAGTCAACCTTGAGCCAATAAGAATTAAACTGCCAAACTGCAGGCAGCTGACAGTCAGCAGAAGTAGCCCACAGTACTGCATTCTAACCACTGCGCCACCGCAGCTCATAATGATTCCTCCAAAGTATCTTTATTATCTTGATGTACAACTTTCTAAACTCTATACCAGGGGTAGGCAACCTTGGCTCTTTTATGACTCGTGGACTTCAACTCCCAGAATTCCTGAGCCAGCATAGCTGGCTCAGGAATTCTGGGAGTTGAAGTCCACGAGTCATAAAAGAGCCAAGGTTGCCGACCCCTGCTCTATACAATGTATTTTTTGCTTTTCTTTTTAAGTCAGTGATTGTTAATTGATTTGTTCTTTTCCTTACAGGATGAACTTAATGAAGTTGTGGATGTTAAAGATCCAGACATAACACCTCCATCTGAACGCAGAGAAAAACGACTTGCAGCAGAAGCTGCTAAATTTGATCCTGATCATTACCTGTACGTTTATCCCTGCTTATGTGTTCTGGTAATAAATAGTTTAGGATCATTGTACTATGCGATTGGATTTAAATCCTCCCTATCCATGAAATAAATTAAAATTAATACAAGTAAATAGTATCTACTATTCTTTATTCTATAATCCACAGAGCAGGCAATTTACATATTTTTGTAAATAATAAAACAAATGTAAATGACATGGACATAATTAATCAGTACAGGTAGCCCTCAACATACAACAGTTTGTTTAGTGACCATTTAAAGTTACAACAGCACTGAAAAAAGTGACTTTTTTATACTTACAACAGTGTTTCTCAACTTTGACAATTTTAAGGCATGTGGACTTCAACTCCCAGAATTCCACAGCCAGCATTGCTGGCTGTGGAATTCTGGGAGTTGAAGTCCACATGCCTTAAAATTGTCAAAGTTGAGAAACACTGACTTACAACCATGGGCAACATCCCCATGGTCACGTAATCAAAATTCAGATGCTTGGCAATTGACTTATATTTATGATGGTTACAGTGTCCAGGTGGTGGTGGTTATGTGATCAGTTTTTGTGACCTTCTGACTAGCAAAGTCAATGGGGAAGCAAGATTCACTTAACAACTGTGTTACTAACTTAACAACTGCAGTGATTCCCTTAACACAGCGGTTCCCAACCTTTTCTATACCCCGTACCCCTAGAACGCTTCTGATATATTCTCGCACCCCTTATAAAAGTTCAAAATGAATTATGCGTATACACTATAATTTTGAAACTTCTAAACCCAAGTTTTCGTACTCCCTGAAATATTGTCTCGCACCCCCGGTTGGGAACCCCTGCCTTAACAACTGTGGCAAGAAAGGCTGTGAAACGGGGCAACAGAAATTTGTGGGCGTAAGTCAAGGATTACCTGTATTCCTAACCTAATATTCTGTAGTGCATCTTTTCCGAAAATTAATGACAATCAAATGTTTTCTATACTCTGGATAAGATACCTATACTTCTACCTATACCACTCTTCTTGAGCAAACTGCTCCAGTTGTTTCTTTCTCCGAGCTGTGACACTCAGCTCTTTTCATAGGTGTTCTATTGGATTTAAATCAGGATTCATACATAGCAAGCCACTTCAAAATGTTTGCTTTTCAGTGATTCTTGGGTTTTCTTAGATAAAGTTTCAGGTCACTATCCTTCTGGGAGACCTATGACTTGCTACTAAGTCAGAGCTTTCTAACAGTGGGGATTATGTTTCACTCTAGAACACCTTGAAGAATCTTCTGATTTCATTCTACCCGCCATAGATTGAAGTGCCAGAGGCATAAAAGTATTATGTGACATTATGAAGCTTGCTCCATGTTTGACAGTAGGGATGGCATTTTTTTCTTTAAGAACATCATTTTTGTGTGTCTGTCTTTCAAAAGAGGGTTTTTCACCATGGAGGCTACTTTCAGTAAACTGTGACAGATTGTGTAACTTGATATTTGTTGTAACTTGATCATAGAGGTCAGCCAGAATCTGTTCTGAAGTTTTCAGTTAATTCTTTCTCCACTATTCGAACTATCCTTCTCCTCAGTCTGGAATCAGTTTTCTTCTTACGGCCTTATTCAAGGAAGTTGGCTACAGTCCCATGGACCTTAAATTTCTTGGTAATATTAGCAAACATGGTCACTTTTTGGAAATAGTTATCTTCAAGATAGACCAAAGTAGGTATCCAGTGTCATAGAGGTCAATACTATTTTTATTGGAAAGATATAATACTGTAAAAGAATCTTCCTAGTCTAAATGTACTTTCCCCTTCCATCCCTTTATCTTCAGTAGAACTAAGGAAGGTCTTGTCCAAGGCATTTATTCAATTTATATTCCTGCCCTGGGCTTAGTTCTCTTTCATCTGACTAGTCTTTTGGTAGAAACTCTTCCTCCTGTTTCTTAAGGCCATTTCCTGTGCATTCTACATTGGTTTTGTACCCTTTGCCTTTACCTTGCTTGGCTACTACTTTCTTCCTTTCCTCCTCAGACAACTCTCTGCTTTTCTTTCTCTTCTCCACATTCACTATGCCACAGACAATAGCAGATTCATTTTTCTTCATTCAAATATGCTGACTGATTATGTGATGCTAATTAAAGATCCAGCTTGAGAGCTCACTAAAATCCAGTTGTGTTTTTTAACTTCCAAGGTGTACCAATAATCATGTCCATGCTATTTTCACTTGTTTTATTATTTACATGAGTATGTAAATATATCAAAAGCAAAGTGCCTGCTCTATGGAATAAAGAGTGGTGAATATCATTTATTTGTATCCATTTCAACCTATTTCTGCAAAATTCAATATCTAGGAAGAGAGCTTCTTTGCCATTGCCCCCAGTCTGTGGAAAAGTCTTCCCCCAGAGGTGAGACAGCCCCCCCTTTTTCTGCCAAAAGGAGTTAAAGCATGGCTGTGCTGCCTTGCATGTGGAATCCAGAGGACCACATAGCCATGGGGCTGGATAGTCCCCTGCAAACCCTCCCTTTACCTTTTAACTAATTTTCATAGTGCTTAATCACTCTTTCCCCTTTCTAATTTTTTAACTTTTATATATACTTTTTATGAATGAAGGCAAACATATGTGTCCCAGGATAATGTTGCAGGATCCAATCTGGGATAAAAATATACTGTATTATATTTTTAACATTTTATTGTATACCACCCAGAGTCCCTCTTTGAGGAAGATAGGGGTTCAAAATTGTGAAAAATAAATAAAAAAAAATTGGGATTCTTTGGGAGAAAGTAGAGGGGTATCAGTCTTTTGGCCATGTCTGTATCTTGAAGTTCCAAATTAAATGGCTGTGGGGGGGGAGGCCCAACCTTGGTCCAATAAAAAAGGTGTTAAACAAAATCCCACTAGTTCTCATTTGCAACTTTGAAGACAGATATAATCCATTTTAAGAATTACTGAGGAAAAAATGAAAAAAAAAACATTTCCCCCAGTAAATTTAATTTAATTTAATCTTCAGTGGCTGCTTTCTCAAAATGGATTGTTCAGAATAAAACTAATTCTAATTTTTATAGATCATGAACGAATATTGGAAGACTAATATGCATATATTAAAGTATACCAATTCAGCTATGCTATTAAGTGTACCAAAATGATGACTATTTTAAACAGTTATTAATCTCTCTCATAGTTAGGTTGATATCCTGAAATCTCCGCTTGTATTGAAGTTGTATTCTTTAAGAGTTTAAAGCTGATGTAGGTGACTGAGATGCCTATAAAATAGGATTATTGTGACTACATATGTACATTCCTAATATCAAATTCATATATTGTATAATTCATAAGCTTTTCTATCTTTCCAGAGCTGATTTTTTTGAAGATGAAGCTATTCACCATCTGTTGAACTATAAGCCCTGGTGGGTTAACGCCTACGAGTTGATGATGAATGCTCAAGAAAGCACTTCATGGAGTAAGTGCAATCAATCCTCAGTTGCTAGGATTGTACTTCTACAGCTTATATAAATCCCTCTTGTCTGTGCTACTTGACAGAATAGGTCTCCCACTGTTGTAAAAGGAACTCTCTCTACAACTCAGTTGTTGTTTTTTCTAAGGGCTGGAAATTTACTTGACAATATTTCAGCTTTTCTGATACTTATATATCGATAATGAATGGATAGCCTATAGCACGGGTGTCAAACTCAATTGTGTCATATGACGTATTGTGACGTTTTTTGCCTTTGCTGAGCCGGGCTGAGCGTGGCCTGCACGTGACGTAGCCAGCCCGCGGGCCGCCAGTTTAACACCCTGGTCTATGGACTGCATGCATGCTCTGTTCCTTCCTCCCCATATTTTCTGATTCCAAGCATCCTTTGATCACACAGATGATTTTTGGTAGTGAAATGGGTAAATTTTGGCACAAAATTAAAGGATCAGCATAGCCTAATGAACAAAGCTATGGCTATGTTTTTTCTGTGAATTCTCCAGATGGTTGAGAAGCAAGGCTGTGGCCCTGATACATCAAATATCACCCATTCTTGGTCTATAAAAATTAAGAAAATGATCTACAGCCAGCAGTATGCTGCAGCTGCCAAAAAAGCCAGCACAGTGCTAGGCTGCATTAACAAAGGGATAGAATCAAGATCACGTGAAGCGTTAATACCATTAATCATGTGGTATGGCCACACTTGGAATATTGCATCCAGTTTTGGTCACCAAGATGTAAAAAAGATGTTGAGATTCTAGAAAGAGTGCAGAAAAGAGCAAAAAGATGATCAGGGAACTGGAGGCTAAAACATATAAAAAATGATTGCTGGATCTGCCCAATTGTGGGGGATTGATAAGACAATTTTCCCTCTTCTTTGTGGCAATCCCTGACATATTGGAACAGTGCTATCATATCACCCCTAGTCCTTCTCTTCATTAAACTAGACATACTCAATTCCAGCAATCATTCTTTATATGTTTTAGCCTCCAGTTCCCTGATCCAGTTCCCTATTCAGCCCAAACAGCCCTTTTTCATCCAGAACATCGTGTTTGAACAAATAACTGCTGGTTCAGAGGATTGATAATCCAGGAAACCAATGGACCACTCCTGGAACAGCAAGGTCCAGAAGAGAAATGTTGCATGGAAGTGTGCATCCTTAATATCTATGCTTGAGTTTAACAAAGTGAGAATACACCATTTCAGAAATTCAACTCATGACATTTTCAAAAAAGTTTGAGCACTCATTTCCTTTGAATTAAAGATCACTTTATATATTTATGAACCTATAGTGAAAAATAAGTTTCCAAGTTAAAGCTCTCTTTTGCTGTATGTTCCACTTACAGAGCAGAATTGTGACAAGGGGCTTTTTGTTATGTTTAAATTCTTGACAGATCTATTTCTTCTCCTAGCTTATGGCCTACTAGCTGAAAATTAGTTGTAGTGAATGGCAGTGTTAAGGAATGACTTAATCTACCTTTTTACAAGTTTTTTTAAAATTATGCAACTTTATTAATCACAAGGGGAAGAATAACAAAAGCACAAATATCATTTTCAATACCATATGTTTCAAACATTGTCAAGGTAGGTACTCTGATTTAATAATATTTACAAACACAGTATGGGATAAATATTTTTTCAGGAAAAGCAAAAAAGATTGTTTTCTATAATTATGTAAAACAACTCAAGAAACTTTGAGCAAATTGCTTGAAAAGTCTGTTTTTATTTTTGTTTTTGTTTTTTTGCAGAAAAATAATTAGTTTCATAGTTAAACAATTGAACAGTTGAAATTGGAATTCCTTTTAGATTCTGCCAGAAATCGTACATTGAGAATTCTTTTAAAAAGTACAAGTGAACATAATTTAAGAGCAAGCCATTGTCATTTTCGTTCATCACTAGTATTAAAAAATCTTCTAAAACATGCAGGGATAAAATTGCATTGTATATGTTAATTTGCCTATTCAGAAGTTTAAAATAGCTGGACTGCCTAATTTAGTGCTTTGAACAAAGTTGGCAGTTTGGCTTTTGGATCCTCTGAAGAAGTGCTAGAGAGAAGTTTCCTGGGGATGGGCTTCAGCATGAATTCGAAAGCTCGGAATACAAATCCACTGGTCCCAGTGACTGACCCAGATTGGTTCCTGCAAGCCACCTGCAGATTAGAAATGGGCTGATTCCTAATGGATTTGCATATGCTATTGCTACATTTGGTCCAGAATAATCTTTTAAATGAAAACCATGTTTCCTATGAAAAAGATTGGGTAATTACAATTTTTTTAGTTTCTGGACATATGCTATGTTATCATTTGTTTAACAATTGTTTGAATAAATTTTACTTGCCTAGCGTTGCACAACACATTAAGTCATAAACTATAATGTGCCAACTACAAGAATAGGCTTCAGGCATCATTCCAAGCTAAGCCCAAACAAATCATAAATTGTAATAACATTACTGTGTTATATGACCTTAGCCAGTATGAGGTAGTTATTGTGGATGTTTAGCTATCCCACATTCTAAGCATTTATGGCATAAAAACACTAGACTGCTTTTAAATTGAATTATTTTTCTTTTTTTAAGGAACTTTGTTTATTTTTAAATGTATTTTTTTAAAGAAAATCAGTTTTTTATGATGGTTATGAAAGACCCTTCTCTTTTTAAAGCTCATTTGGGTTCCTTTGGGAGGAGAAATATTAATTATTATTTCTGAATGAGAAAGAATAATTGGGCAGCTGCTGAGAAAGTTAAGCATTTTATTCTGAACTTTAGATAAGAATAGTTATATAATTTAGAGAACATGTTCATCAATGCCATCTTTGTCAATTGAAGGTATGGATAAATATATTTTAGAGTAGCTATGTGTACTGTGCCTTAAAGTAACAATCCTATTTTCAGTTTCCTTTACAGAAGATGAGAAAGAGCAGCTAAGAAAATTCACTAACAGGACATTCCTGCTTGATAAAAGAACCAGCCAACAAGTCTATCTGAGCTTAATTGATATACTTTTAGCATATTGCTATGAGGTCTGTGCCACTGAAGGAGAAAATAATGTGAGTTAGTCTTTTTTTCTCTTCACAGTATGGCATTTTAGTTAAGTGGCTCCATCATGAAAACTATAGAGAGCTACTCTGTAATTTGGGAGGCTTTAGTTCTTAAACTAGACTTTGTTCTTTGCTGAAGCACAGAACTGCAGGGTATTATCACAAGGTAACTTGCCGTGCAAAGTAATGGAAATGAATAGGAGATTTAATCTTGATCTGACGGGTATGCTGAACTAAGTTCAGCAGAAGAGAAAATGGAGGGGGGATGTGGGGAGAAAATTCTGCTGGAATGTGTGTTTGAAAAACATAGACGTGTTTTAGGAACAGCAGTTGATTGCATTCATATACTGTAAATAAACTGGGACTTTCATTTTGAATGGAACAAGCAGGCTGGGCCAAGAATACTACAGGTAGTCCTCGACTTACGATCACAATTGAGCCCAAAATTTCCATTGCTAAGCAAGACAGTTGTTAAGTAAGTTGATTTAATAATAATAATAATGATAAAGTTGGAAGGGACCTTGGAGGTCATCTAGTCCAACCCCCTGCTCAGGCAGGAAACCCTATACCATTTCGGACAAATGGCTGTCCAGTTTCTTCTTAAAAATTTCCAGTGTTGGAGCATTCACCGCTTCTGGAGGCAGGTTGTTCCACTGGTTAATTGTTCTAACTGTCAGGAAGTTTCTCCTTAGTTCTAGGTTGCTTCTCTCCTTGATTAGTTCCCATCCGTTGCTTCTTGTCCTGCCTTCAGGCGCCTTGGAGAATAGCTTGACTCCCTCTTCTTTGTGGCAGCCCCTGAGATATTGGAACACTGCTATCATGTCCCCCCTCGTCCTTCTCTTCGTTAAACTAGACATACCCAATTCCAGTAACCGTTCCTTATATGTTTTAGCCTCCAGTCCCCTAATCATCTTTGTTGCTTTGCTTTACTTTGCTTGTTGGAAGCAGGCCGGGAAGGTTACAAATGGTGGTCACACGACTCTGGGACAGTGCAGCTGTCACAAATACATGCCAGTTGCCAATGCCCAAATTTTGATCATGTGACCATGGGGATGCTGCAATAAGTGTGAAAAACAGTCATAATTCACTTTTTTCAGTGCCGTTGTAACTTCAAACAGTCACTAAAAGAACAGTTGTAAGTTGAGGACTAGCTGCATTCAGTATGGAGTTCCAAGTTCAGAAGATGAATAAAAATGAAAGATTAGAAATGAGAATTAGGAATGTATAGCAACATTGCCTCAAGGGAATGATACCATAAATGTGTTGCAGCTTTAGTCGTATAAGGATATTTTCCTCCCAACCTTTAGTTCAATAAGCAGAACAAAGCATAAGAGAACCAGTTTGGTCTAACCTGGTGTTAAGGCACAGGTTGGAAGCCAGGAGACTGAGTTGTAGTCCCTCTTGGACACAAAGCGAGATGGTAACCTTGGGCTGGGCACCCTGTCTCTGATGTAGGAAACAAGCAATGGCAAACTTCCAAAACACCTTGCCAAGTAAACTACAGGAACTTATCCAGGCAGATGCCAGGAGATTAAAAACTTACCTCAGCGCCCCTCTCCCCCACCCACAAAGCATAATTGTATTCCATTTTATGTTGTTCACATAATACAAGGGTAGACACGGAGCATATAAGCCTGATATCCCATTTCCAACCCCTACAAACTCGTTCTCCCTATGTGTGGAGTAGATTTTCAACTTGTAAGGTAAGGGGCTCAAGATTTCCCATAATATCTATTAAAGGAATAGATCCTTAAGGAAGGGTCTATTCCTTCCCCATCAGGTTGATTTTTCCCCTCTATTTGAAGAAAAATAGTTTAGAGTACTCACTTTTACCTTTGATCACCTCTACCAAATGTTCAACCCTACCAACTTTGCAGTCCCCAGATACAAAAAATAAAATGTAATCATGGGCTTCCAAAATTTCTTTACCCCAGAGTTAAGAGTATCCACTTTTCTACCATAGAGATATAAATGCTTACTCCAACTCCTTATTGTACGTGGTGGTTTCCATAGCTTCTACTATGTACTCTACATTTTTTAGTAATGCTAAAAACATCTTTAATTCTATGACATTTTATTCAATAATTAAATAAAAAGAAATATTTAGGATAAATATGGAAGATAAGAAAAGGATTGGTGTTGAACTTTTAACATTTTTAAAAATTCTTCTGAAAGGATATGCAATCACATTGCTAAAATAATTTAGGAATGTCTGACATTCCTCTATTTTCTAATTATTTATTTAAAAAAACTTGTCCTGTAAAGTCCTCTTCAAACATTTGGTCCTTAGCCAATTTTGTTTGGTTAGCAGAAAACTAAAAAGCTCAAAGAATGTAGGAAATGATTCAAAATTATGTTCATTATAACTCCACTTTAGTTTAGCAATAGCCATATTCTCAGGATTGACATAAATCAACATGTTATATTTTCTTAAGCCCTGTTTATAGAATTATGTTATAACTGACTTTTCTATATCCTTCACTTTAAGGTTGAATCACCATGGAACATACGAAAATTGAGCTCAACTTTATGCTGGTTGGAGGTACGATAATTATATAAAGTTTCTAAAGAAAATACACTTTAGATATATGTGTAGAAATGTAGAAATTTCTTAAAAAGCATGTTGCTATATTCTAAAATTTTACAGGTCATTTTTTTAACTTTAATCTTAACCAATACTGAAATAAACATTTAAAAAAAAATCTCTTATAACCCCTTTTTTTAAATGCAGAGTTTTACTAGCATTTCCGAAGTCCTTATATCCTTTGGAAGAAGAGTTCTGTGCTACCCACTTTACAGACACTTCAGTTTAGTGATACGAGCCTTGAATGATACTATAATGATACTGAAATTAGGTAAGATAATACATTTTTATTAAATGGTTTGACTTGAAAATTACCTCCATATTTTAGATACTTCAGAGATAGGGCATTTGATTGAAAGAATATTTTTGGACGATATTTGTATTCACATTAGTGAAACAGATTGGCCTTGGGGAAATGAAATTATATTGATAAATAAGTGGACCACAAGGGTAGCAGGAGAAACTATTTCTATCAAGTTTATCCAACACTTAGAATTTTGTGAAGTGTAGACATCTGTCAAATGTGTCTGTGTATATAATACAGGTTGAGATATGAAACCAGTTGCAATTCCCTGTTTATTTGACAAATTCTCTAGAATTAAATGTGGGCCGGATAAGAGTAGATCTAGATATAGTAGGTATAGTACAGGGGTGTCAAACTGCCGGCCCACGGGCCGGATGCATCATAGCAAAACTGCACCCGGCCCATTGCTGGCAATGGCAAAAACGTCACGATACGTCGCGACACATCACGTGACGTTCCAAGTTTGACACCCCTGGTATAGTAGTTTCACAAAACGTAACACATGCTAGTTGGGATGTTTTAAGCAAAGAGAAACAATTATTGCCTATAGTATAGAAGAGGGTTCAAATATTTATATTAATTACTTCGTCTGCAGGTGACCCATATATTTAACTGTTCATCTAATTATCTGGGTCGACAGAGAATTTCATATAAGACAGTGAAGATTCTAGCTGGTTGTCATTCAGCACTGATTGCAGAGCAAAAGTTGTCCTTCCCTTCACAGCTAGCATGTGAACCTGCAAAGAGGAATAGAGGTATATATCCTTCCCTCTGCTGGACCACTTATCAAAAGTGGTTTTTTTCCCAGCAGTAAAATGTCCTTTTGATAGGCCAGACAAGAAATAAAAGATTTTCAGATAAGTGAAATTATCATTTGTATAGAAGGCTGCATAAATGTATATTAAAGGATAATGTACCATTTTTATGATCAAATTCTCAAAATGTGCCACTGAAAGCCTTTTTAAAATACCTGTAATAACCATCCAAGGAACAAAACTTTTTGTTGGATAGATTAGGTATAAAGCCAAACATGCCTGTATCCCCTGGAGTTGCCTCGTCTCTCTACTCATTAAAAATGTTTAGCAGTTTTAAAGTCAACATGAAACTTGTTTAATTTCTTTCCACATTGCCAGATGCTTTCATTTGGATGTCTCAGGTTGCCTAGGAAACCATTGTTAAGATGAAATGTGATTGGCTCAGTTGGATCATTGTTCGTGTTATGAATGGAATTGAAATAACTTAGGCTGTTCTTAAGCAAATAGTTAACGGGAGTGAATGTTCAGCTTTTACACTTGGTACATGATTATNATTATGTTATGGATTTCAGAAGAGTTGAGGCAAATAATGAAACATTATTTGACAATATGAGTGAATATGAATTATTCTAGTAATAGGGGCTATCAAATATTTAAAATAAAAATAAGTCACTTGGTATATCATTATTTGGTACTGTTTTGCCAATATAAACCTGCCCGCCTTTATTTGCCAGGCTCCTGACATAGAAGAAGAACAAAACAAATTAACAACAAAGGCAGCACAGATTTTTAAAGAAAATTGGGAGATTTGAAACTTGTTTTTCCCTTTCTCAGCAAGACTTTTTTAAAGAACATTTTATTATTTTTAATGTATATAAGTATACATTATTTTTGTCTTAAACACAATGCTAGAGAATAATGGATAATGGGCTTTCTATATAAAAATAAAAGGTGAGAATTTTGACTTGACCTAAACTTTCCCAAGTTATGCAGTAATTTATATAGATTTATATCAATTTCAAATTAAATCCAGTCTGAACATCTGGCTGACTGTGTGACAAATCATAATATAACATAATTCAATTTTAAGAAATGAGAAGTGATTTTGCATGAAACTTTAATAGTTGAAAGCTTTAAAAAAGCTTGGGTCATACTGTCATATCAGACAGAGATACTGTCAGGTTGAGAGAGAGAATTACGTTGTGCCTACAATTGGTCATGAAGCTTATGATTGTTCACTGCCCCAAAAATCTTAGCTGTGATTATCTTTTCTTTTTAGGTAAAAGTGCCATTTTGAAGTGTCTGCTAGACATTCACAAGATTTTTCGGGAGAATGATCCTGCATATATTCTCAATGACCTTTACATCACAGATTACTGCATTTGGATTCAAAAAGCTAAGTGAGTTGTAAATCTGTAGTTCTTTTTTATGATTGTGTTTTATTTTGTAGAAAAGTAGTAAAAAGATCTGTTGAAAGTATACTTGTTATATATACAACAGTGTGAAATTGCACTTGCTAATCCTTCAACTGGAGTTAGCGTTCATACACATTAAGTTCTTCCCAAGAACTTGGAATGTCATAATATATTGCCGTAGAATATGGGCACATCCAAGTAATGCGGCTTTTTGTAATTGACAGGTTATTATAGTTGGTCACAAAGACAACCAGTTGTTTAGACTAGAGTTAGCATTTTTATCTACTTACTGGCTTCTTCCCAAGGATCTGGGGTAGGCAGATGTTGTTGATGATAGTGTTAAAGATATTGTCACAGGGCATGATTCCAAGTAAAGTTTCCTTTTGCAGTTGACTGATTTTGGTGATTTTGTCAATGCTGATGTGTTCAAGGTGGTGCTCCAGTTGGTTTGGGATTGCACCAAGATGCCTATCACTATTTTACTTTGCTATTGTTTGCCAGTCGTTCTATTTCTTTTTGCAGATCTATGTATGTTTTTATTTTTTTCCAGTTTTTACTTCTGTTGTGCTTTACCCAAGTACTGCAATATCCACTATCCAGAATTTTTTCTTCCTTATCAACAATTGTTAAGTGTTGTGTTTCAGATGCTTGTCTGTTTGAATTCTATGAGCACTTTAGCTTCTTCAATTTCTGTTAGTCTGTTTTGTGTTCCTACTAGTTTTTGCTTGCAGGCAAATGGTATTTCTTACAGATTTTCCAATACACCATGGTTGCTACTTTGTCATACTGTTGTTTGTATTCATTATTTAAGTTGTCCATCACTCTGAGGGAGATGGGTGGTTAAGTGTGAAATATAAATTATTATATACACAAAAATGTGAAATCACAGCTGCAAGTTCATTAGCCATTCTTGGCTTTTATTCTACCTTTTTATACATAATTCAAGGGGACAAACATTCCTAATACAATGTAATTCTATACATTTCTTCTTTCAATGCCTCTCAGGTCCTGATATTTCTAGAAGGCAAACATAAATATTATATAATAATAATAATAATAATAATAATAATAATAATAATAATAATAATAATAATAATAATAATAATTAATAATAATTAATAATAATAATAATAATAATAATAATAATAATAATAATAATAATAGATTTGGAAAGGACCTTGAAGGTCTTCTAGTCCAACCCCCTGCTCAGGCAGGAAACCCTATACATAAATGATAACCCTATATATAAATGATAGGGCTCTCTTGTAGATGATTCAAGAAATTGAAGGTAATATCCCCATGTTCATACATTGGCTCACCTATGGTAGAAAATTATATGGATTAATAGCAAGGTAGCCAGATAATCTGCTATACTAGAATATAACAGTGTCATCCTTTTCCTGTTTACAGAAGAAGAACCTGTTTGGCCGAGATATTAAGGCTCCAGGCTAGAAACCAAGAGACCATGAGTTCTCGTCCTGCCTTAAGCATAAAAGCTGGCTAGGTGGTCTTGGCCGAGTCACTCTGTCTCAGCCCAATTCATCTCACATGGTTGTTGTGGGGAAAATAGGAGCATGAAAGAGTATTAGATATGTTTACTGCCTTCAGTTATTTATAAAAATAATAAAGATGGGATTAAAAATATCATTAAACACCCCCCCCCCCGAATTTTTCTGTTTAGTAGATTTGTGGCTCATTACAATGTGTAAATTAGAAAGATGATTTAAATTTTAGTTATTCAATAGATAAAGTCCTGTATTTAAAATTGTATTGGTTTGTTAAATAATTGAGTACCAATGGACTGCCTATGCAAATAAAGTTATGCTGTCATGAAGCTACTGAGCCTCAGTACACCGAGGGAAAATAAATGACAGACTTTGAGAGATACTCATTAAAAAAAAATTACAAACTCTTTTCTTGTGGAGTTTAAATTTTAGGCACAAATTCTACATCTTCTACCCTTCCAAGAATCCAGTCTAATTTCTATCAACATGTTTGTCATACTTAACATCCTTATTGATGAAGAAGCAGGAGTATGACGAGGCTTAACTACTGCTTTTCTTGTCCTTGGTATCACTACAGTGTAATCAATGTTTGCCTTAGTTGCGAAACATTCTGCTGTGCTTTCCTCTTAATTATATGTGGGAGTGTTAGAAAGGTGAGCTATTATTAAGGTACTTATTACATGCATTTGAGATATAATTGCATAAAGCACTTTATGCATAAGCACTCTAGCACAGTGGACAAGTTTCCTTTCTCAGCCTTAGTTCGCTAGATATGTAGGGTACTTTAAAAGCTCTTGATATACTATCATCTCTTTGAGGTATGCCAAGACAGAAAACAGGCTGCTCAAGAATGATTGGAAGTTGTCTTTATTGATCTATATCAGTGGTTCTCAAGCTTTTTAATGCCGCGACCCCCAACCGGTCGTAAGTCGAGGACTAAACCGGTCGTAAGTCGAGGACTACCCAACCGGTCGTAAGTCGAGGACTTTCCCTGCCCGGGAGCGCCGCGCATGCGTGGTTCCGCCCCCTGCGCCGGCCGAGGCGTAGCTGGTAAGCGGCAGAGACGGAGCAGGCTGACCACCAGCTGGCCCAGCCCAAGGGAGGTAAGGCACCTGCCGGAAAAGGGGAAAAAATGGCAGACAGCCTTGCTTGGTGACCCCCGTGAAATGGTCGATCGACCCCAAATGGGGTCGCGACCCATAGGTTGAGAACCGCTGATCTATATGATAACAGAATCTTAAAAGTCTGTCTGATTTTCCTTCCCTCCCTGTATCAAACCCTAGGGAATGGAAGGCAGTTAGTTTGAGTTTCTTTCTAATGCTTTCTCCTTTTGTTGAGTTTTGTAACTGTCTCTGTATACCAAGCCTAAGGTCATCTTTGTGGCTTTCCAAATATAAGATTCGCTTGCACAATAGTAAGTCGCCAACTCTGGGTTATGATCCCAGCTTCTTGGGAGAGCAGCAACATGTCCACAAATCCTGGAGTGCCATTGATACTTGGCATCCATCAAGTATCATGCCCCATCTGATGTCTTTAGAATAAAACAAACAGGAAGCTCCCATGCCACAAATGGAAATCAGTTTCAAATGCAGTCTTTATTCTCAAGAAAGTGTCAGCAGGTGAAAATACCTGCCTTACCTTTTCTGAGGTAAAGGAAACTAGGCAAGGTTAGTTAGTTCTAGGATGGGACAATAACAGGGAATTCCAGCATTAAATTCGAGATTAAAATGCTAGATTTAAAAAATCTCAGAAGTCAGGTAACAAACCATTGAGGTATTTCTGCCAACAATACAATATTGATGTCTCCATGCAGTCACTGGGAATTAACCTTAACATGAGGTGCATCTTTACATTTTTATTTCCAATCATGTTTCCAAACTGCATATATGCCTAAGCGGTTTTCAAAAATAAAAATAAAAAATAGACTGAAGCCGATAGTTCTTATTGAAAGTGTGCCCAGAAGAGCTTGGAGGAGGATAAAAGCAAGTTGTGATAAGGGAGCTGCCTGAGAAAGGATAAGAAGGATCAACTATTTTTTTCTGATAAATTGATATTTTGGGGAAATGCTCATGATATCCTCCAAAATCTTAATATTGGTCCACTAGTTCAAACATTTAGGGACCCTATATAAAACCAAACACTGGTGAATTTTCTTCTGTTGTCTGGAAGAACTTGCAGAATAAAGGTTTTATATCAGCCTATTAGTTCCTGGTTAAGTTAAAATTTAAATAACTCCGATATATGAGTGAATGCAGCCATAGTAAACTCAATATACTATGTACTTCTAGACAATAGAAATTAAAACTACTGTTTTTTTAAAAAAACAACCCTGTAGTTTATTTTAAAAACATATAGAAGACCTCATCATATAAATCAACCAAGGTTTCTTGAAAATCATAAATAGTTCTAAATACTGGCTGAAATGGATTCTGAAAATAATTCAATAAACTTAATTCAGTCAACTACCTCATGCTCAAGGAACATCCCTAGAAAGAAGACAGTTATCAGTGGCCTGTTAAGATTTGGATATTTTAGGTCTATTAGTAATTTTGTGGAAATTCTTCCAGTTCTTCAGAGAAGCGTGAGTCCTTGTAGATGAATCCATCTTTCTTGTGAAGGGAATTATCTTTCTAATAAGTGTTCTTTGCAGAGGACACTGCAGTCTCTGTTAGTGCCCTCAATTGAAAGAGGATTAAATTGAAAATATCTCACTTCTTTATTGTTATCATCCAGCCCAACAGAATAATCCTGTCACTGCTCTATCAGGGTACATGTGGTCATGGGTTCTCAAATTGTTCAATTTCTTTTCGGTTAAAGTTTTGACTTTCCAGTTTATCTTCCCCGATCTGTTGCCTTTCAAATGTGGTTGAAAATGTTTTCCTATATATTTTAGAACATCATATTGAGGGAGATAATTACATTAGAGTGTCTAAAAAATGTTATTGCATAATGCTTATGCTAAAGTAAATAATTTGTAGAACTCTTATCTCAGTAAGCTTACACAAGTACCGTAGGTAGTCTTTAACCAAAATGTAATTCTGCCTTAAGTAAATCATGTTTCAACCATTTATATGCATTTTTGAGGGAAAAATCTGAAAAGTTAAATGCCATAGAACCATATTATTGTATGTATGGTATTTACCAGTCATAGTCTGGATCATTTCAGGTTGGCTATTATATGTCAGGGGTTCCCAACTCCCAGGCCATAGACCAGCACCAGTCAGCAGCCTGCCAGGAACCGGGCCACACAAGCAAGTGATGCCCCATCCCTGCAGGTGCGGGATCCAGGCAGCATGCAATACCACACTCCCCCGGCCCGTGGAAAACTGCCCTCCACAGAACCGGCCCCTGGTGCCCAAAACATTGGGGGCTGCTGTTATACGTGATTTGTTACAAGGCTAGTGGCTGCCTAATTTTGCCATCCCAGGCACTTGTTTTGATTTCACTTGGGATACGGTGGAACTCCCTAAATGGAAAATG